TTTTTCAAATAGAACTACCCTTTTTCATTAGCTCATGGAATGCAGCTTGAAACGCTGCATATACACCCTGAATTGTTTTGCTCTTACCTGCGACGTCATCAGATTCAGAGAGGTCAAAAGGTAAGTGCAACAAAATTTACTTGAACCAAGGCACTACATTCATTGGTGCAAATAATGAATTGAAATTGTTTTTTAATCAAAGCTCCCTCTCCGTTGTTGACATCGGAATGGAATCGGGAGTCAAATCTGTAAAATATCACCTCAAACGTGTCATGGGAAACACATTATTCACATTCGAGCAGTTTAAATCCTCAAATAAACAAAAAAATTATACATAACAAATAATGCAGCAATTCCTAATGTAAGGCAGGTAGGTACCTAAATGGTTGAGAATATTTATTTTTTCTCTCTCTACTAATCCGGATGCGATAATTCGGTGTTCTTCTATTGTTGTTTACTCTCGTGTAGTTTTACTTGTTCGTAACTTCTACGTCGCAACGCTTAAAGTTTTCCAGTGAAATTTTTAGAATACCTTCGTTAACAAATACTTTTCTGTGTAGAAATCATCAGAGAATAGGACTTGATCAATAGATAGGATTTTCCGAAAAGACGAAATTTGAAGATCTGATAACTAAGCTTGAGAGCTTAACTTAACCGAGCTCCCTAACCACTGTAGGGTGGTTAATAACAATTGTGTGGTAATAGTGGAACTAGTTTAGAGTTACTTGAAAGAAACAAACTTTTTACTGATACTACTTTTACATCTCGTATATCGAACACCGTCACCCAAATTCAAAAACCCATAGTTAGCAAATTGACCTACTTTTTTCCAACGCCTTGTATAACAAAAACGTTTCAGCTTGTAATTTAATGTTAATTTTGTGATGAAAAAAACGTTATTATTTCTAAAACGTTATGAGCATCAGAAGCTCAAGTAGTGGGGTAGTTTACAAATGACAACAAAAGTAAGACCAACATGCGTTATGTCTATGCGTTATTCCAAAAACTTCCAATTTGACCTGAATTTGGATGGAATACCTGAAGCTTTCTAATAGGATATAACCCTAAGCTAAGCGAGTTAGAATATTAATTCCATGCCAAAATAGAACTACATTCATAGGTGTTGGAATGTAGCACAAGTTAATTGTTATACGTTAAGCTATTAACAGTTATTAACGACATTGAAAATGTTTTCATAGTCTGTTAGAATCCGTCGATTAAGTCCGAACCTCCCCTAGTTAACCTACTAAGTACCTAATTTACACGTCACTGAAGGATAAACCAGACACGTACTAACAGTTCAGATAGCTTCAACTTTTCATTTGGTTCTAGCAATATTTTCTGCTTGTGCAACTGCCGAATAAAGAACTTGTTCAGTATTTCTAACAAAACTACTTAGACAATGACTCTATTTTTGGATAGGACTTCGGCAAAACAGTTGCACTAATTACTTCTCCAAAATTCGATTGATTTATGATGATGATGATGATGATAAATACTGTTATTATTTACCGTTTATCTACTAAATTAAAGGGCTTAAAGCGTCAATGTAAATAAATTCACATCCTGGTTCAACTAATTGCAATTAGACATATTAAAATAAAGAGCACTTACTATTTGCTCTCGAACGTTGTTGTGAAATATTTGCTCTGTTGTAGTGGTATTGAATTCGTCTTCCAATTCATAATCCATCATATAGATTTAATATCCAGTCTGTTTTGAAGGGACACACATTTGAAATATCTGAAGCACTTCACTATCATTTTCAAATGTTTAAAATACATTGGACATTCTGACTCTCAATAATAATGAAACTGATGAGAACCATATGCAAAATTTGCATTCCCGTAACTGTATTTTAACTATTTCTGGAAGGGCCTATGTTGTTATATTAGCAAACTGAACTCAACAGATCAATAATAAAGCCAAACACATGTCAAACATCTAATCTCTACGCATGTAACATGTTCCTCTTCTTTCAAGTTCTGTTCGCCACTAGCTAGGATTTTGCTTAAGTATCGATATCGATATTCGATTATTTGCGCGATTCTAAATAAAACACCCTACTCATTATTTTTAAATTCTACTCCAAATTCTAAATATATTTTTTGCTTAACATCCTATAGCTAAGTTTAACCATTTTTTATATATTTGGAATTTGAAAAAATGACAGTTGCAGCCACTCGACTAATTATTCGTTTTTATTTAATTTTCGTTTATTTGAGTAGCATTTCTTGTTGAAAAGAACTTAGTTTAATGGAATTTCGACAACATTTTGAAAACTATTAATACAAAGTGTTAAAGAAATTAGTGTCAAAAGACAGAGTTGAGAAAAACGCCCAAAATCATGTTTTTCAAATGGAAATCGGTTCCAGAAATTATTTTGAGATGCGGTTTTTGCGGTTTGGTTCATTTTTTCCTTTGCTTTCGAATGCGTGTAAAATAACTTGATGGTAGTATTTGAAATTTTTGTGAAAAATTAAAACAAATAGATTTTTTTGAGCAGCGGATTTTTCGAAAATGATTAAGATTTCTGTTATATCACATATTGTAGAGTTTGTATTGCTCTTTCAATTGATAGTAAAAACTTTGAAATCGGTGAAGCCATTTCGGAGTTACAGGTTTCTTTGAATTAAACGGTTTGACTCTCCCCCCACGCTTTATTTGACAAGTTAGGAAAAAAGTTTCATAACGAAAGTAGTACGGTTTTTTATGATCTTTTGACCACATTTACTAGATGTTTCACTTATAGGGACAATTTCTGTATAAAATCGACTTTTTAAAATACCGTTTGCAATTACGGCATCTAGTGATGATCTGAGAAATTTCAAAATAATTTCCAGCAAATTCTTTTCCTCAAATTTGTTATCAATTTTTTTTCCCGGTCACTCTACAGCACATACTTTCCAAGATACAGCTGCTTACCATCCTTATTGCGACACCCTGTGTATAAAAATTGAAATGAAGAAATTGCTGTCTGCTGCTGAAAAAAATATTTAAAAATGGGTAATTGGAGGATAAATCTGGGCGACAGTAGCCCAAGAATGGTGTCAAGTCGTTGCGTGTGTCCTAAATAACACGCATCTTAAATACAGCCTCAGCCAAATAGCTCAAATTTTGGTTCTTTTTACGGCCAAACTAGGAATCAATTTCCTCACTTCTACCGGTCTTCGCTCAATATTTTGAATGTGAGCAACTTTGCCTGGATTCACGAAATTAATGGAATTTAGATTGACTGAGAGATGGTGATAACCTTTCTCACCACCAAAGACAGTCACAAGATCTTCAACAATCACTAATAGTAGTTTTCCAGATCTGATTTTCTCTGGAATAATTTGTAAGAGTAGCTGAAGTTTGGCTTCCAACAGGAACAGCAAAAACCTCTGCAGAACTTCTTTGGAGTCCCCAAAAATCCACTGGTCATCGATGATACGACTCTCTGTTATACTTCCTTTTGCCTCATCAATTTCAACAACTTGATCTGGACCACGAAGCTCTGATGAGCCCTCATCTACCCAAAAAATAAATGCTTCCTTAATAAACGCAAACCAATCAATCACAGTTGGAAGAGCCAAATTGACTTTGACACAGACATACAGCGTGCAAGTCAACACCTCCAATGGGCCAGTAATAGTTACTTCTGTTTACAGAGCCCCTCAGGAAGCTCTAAACCTGCTGGACATGCAGACAATGTTAAGGAACAACAAAGCAAGGCAGTTGATAGCTGACCTAAACTGAAAACACGGAGTGGAATAGCATTTGAACCTACAGTAAAAGCCGACGGTTAGCAGAAGCAGTAGATGGCCAAGGTGGAGTAATGCTGGGCACCGAAATCCCGACAAGGATACCGACAGTATCGGGAGCTCCTGCAGTGTTGGATATTGCCATAATCAAGAACATGATGCAACCAGCATCCAGACTATAGAATAGGAAACCTCCGACCACAACCCAATCCTGCTGTGTTGTGGTCACGGAGAAAAGACACAACTGCGCAGGTCTAGAACCACGACGAACTGGGTAAAGTTCAAAGAGCTCACACACCTACTAATCGAAATTCCGCAAGTAGAGGATGAGGAGCACAAAATATCCCCCCTGGGGTATGTTCTGTGGTGAGGAGGGTGTGGAGCAAGTAGCAAAAAGTCTGGAAGTAGCCATCCAACAAGCGCATGACAGAAGCTCGGTGACTACCGAATTGGCGGTAGTTCGGGAAGAACTCCCGGTCGCCATCCGCAGAAAAATCACCAACCATAGAAGGCTACGCAGGACATTCCTGCCGAGAAAAGGACAAGTAGCTGTAGCTAACTTGATTAATGCCATTTTCAGGATTGGTTATTTCCCAAGCATCTGGAAGCACTCAAGAAAAACAGGACTTTCCCCAAAACTACAGGCCTATCAGCCTGTTGCCCGCTCTATTCCGAGGAAAGCCTTCCACGGAACTTCAGCTGCTCAGGATAGTAGAAAGATACACCAAAGAAATGAATTAATACCGAACGACTGGAATACTCACATTGGATGTCGAAAGATCGTTCGACAGAGTGTGGAGACCGAAAGATCGATCGACAGAGTGTGGAGACACGGTCTCATCTACAAGATGATGGAAACAGGTATTAACAAGAAACTGCCAGTTAATAGACAGTTATATTTGCAGAAGGAGCTTCAGCGTCAAAGTTGGAGGTTACCGGTCAGAAACCAGAAGCACTGAGGCAGGAGTACCGCAAGGAGCAGTGATCTCCCCACTGCTATACAACATATATACAAGCGACATTCCAAGACCTGCCAATACGACCCTGGCACTCTTTGCAGATAATACGGCCTTCTGACATCCCCATGACGCAAGGACTGCATCAGGCAACAGCTCCAGCTTGCAATTGACGAACTACATTAGTGGTTCATCAAGTGGAAGCTGAAGATAAATGCAGAGAAGAGCCAGGCCATACTTATTGGCAGGAAGCAGGACAGTGTCGATGGCAACATCACCAT